GGCAGGGACGCGCAGGAGTGGCAGGGACGCGCAGGAGTGGCAGGGACGCGCAGGAGTGGCAGGGACGCGCAGGAGTGGCAGGGACGCGCAGGAGTCGCAGGGACGCGCAGGAGTCGCAGGGACGCGCAGGAGTCGCAGGGACACAGAGGAGTCGCAGGGACACGCAGGAGTCACAGGGACACGCAGGGACACACAGGAGTCGAAGGGACGCGCAGGAGTCGCAGGGACGCGCAGGAGTCGCAGGGACGCGCAGGAGTCGCAGGGACGCGCAGGAGTCGCAGGGACACGCAGGAGTCGCAGGGACACAGAGGAGTCACAGGGACACACAGGAGTCACAGGGACATGCAGGAGTCGCAGGGACACACAGGACTTCCACAAAGCAGTGATGGGGGCGGGGCCCAGGGGGCAGGGCCTGTGGTTGTGAGGAACAGTGTGGAGACCAGAGAAAAGCTGGAGTGCGAGCCCCAGGTGGGAGTGGACCTCACTGCTGTGCCCTTCGGGGCCTGGGTCTGGAAGCAGCTGGGCTGGACCCTGGAGACCCCACCCTGGAGGCAGCGGCCAGGGGCTGAGTGCCTAAGGAGCTCGCTCCCTCCAGGTCCTTCCTCCCACCACCCAGCTGGCCCTCGGGCTCAGGGGGCAGCTTGGTGTGAGTCTGCAGGGGACTCTGGTCTCTCCCAACCTGGTCCCCCATGAGGTGGAAGGGGACAGCGAGCTGGGTCTACAGGACAGACGGGAGAGAGGGCCAGTCTGTGTCCAGAGGGGGTCAGGCTGTGAACAGGTGAGGGGACCTTGAGGGGGGCCAGGGATTTCAGGAACACGGCTCCCTCAGGAAGGCTCTGCCCTCCCCGTCTCCTGCCCTTGCTCCACGCGGACAGAGGAGCACAGGACACAGGAGCACAGGACACAGGAGCACAGGACACAGGAGCACAGGACACAGGAGCACAGGCCGTGGCCCTCCCCACAGGAGCTGGGCTCCCAGGCCGGGCCCTCAGTGGCCGGGGCATCTGGGAAGCCGTGGGAGCAACTACTCCCCGGGGCTCTGTGCAGCCCCCAGGCCCCACCATGGGGCCTTTCCCTCCCGCCCTCCCAGGCAGGCCCCCCGCTCTGCCCTCAGCCCCCGTCCACCCACCACCCTTCCTGCGGCTTGGCCAGCTTCGGGGGGCAGAGGCCACAGGACTGCCCCTGTGCCCCCTGGGCCCCAGCGCCTGGCACAGTCTCTGTTTACAGCGGGGCTGAGCTGTCTGTGCCGGGGAAGACTGGCACCCCGGGGCACTTCCTTGGCAGTACCACCCTGAGCGGAAGCTGCAGAGCCAGGACCCCTCCTGGTGCGCCCAGCACCAGCTGTCGCAGGATCTGGGCGGCCTGCTGCCTCCCCACCACATCCTGTCTGACTCAGCGGAGCGTGAACACCTCTTCCCAGGAGCGGGTGCACACGGTGGCACAGCCAACCAGGACGTGGACCAAAGGAGACTGGGGGTGGGGGACACAGCCCCACCACCCTGCCCACCCGGGGCAGCCCTGGACGTCCGGCCGGGTGGATGGAGGGGGTGGGGTGGGACTCTGCAGGGTCAAGTTTAGAGAGACAGACTCACACCCCGGGCTGGAGGAACCTTCAAAGGTCGCCACAGCCTCACAACTCAGGGCAGCCCAGGCACGGTCGGAAACGCAGAGCCCCAGGACCCCAGGCCTGCTGAGCTAAAGGAGCGTGTGCAAGGGCAAGTGGCAAGGGTGTGGCCTGCACATCCTTCCCCACCTGACCCCGGGAGGGCCTCATTCCAGAAGGAAAACCAAGGAGAACCAAAAGCAGGTACTGAAAGAGCTGCAGGGCACCCAGGCTCACAGCAGCATTACCCAGAGGCCCCGGGAAGCAGAACAAAATGCAGCATATACACACACAGAGTAGTATTCAGCTCTGAAAAGGAAGGAGATGGTGACCCGGTGACCCTCGAGGACATCATACTGAGTGAAATAAGCCAGCCACAAAAAGACCAGTACGGTGAGATGCACTTCCAGAGAGACACGGCCCTGTGGGCTACCCAACTCCTGAGACAGACGGGAGGGCCTCGGGAAGCAGAGAGGGGTTGGGAGTGGTTTGAAGGAGACAGAGATGTGAAATTATGGAGAAGCCGGGACAACAGCCTAAAAGCGGCTGAAACAGTCGGTTTTACGCTGCTGTGTTCACCACAGTTAAAAATTACGAAAAGCCAGGTGCTGGCTCACGCCTGTGACCCCGGCAGCCCGTTCGGGTTGTCTAACCACAGAACAGCATGGGACACGGGCGAGTTCCGAGTCCTGCGCCCCACACTCAGCTTTGAGGGGCCCATGACCCAGCACCCCTTCACGGGCGCTTCTCACTGGGAGCCCGGGAAGGGCCGGGTTGGGACAGGCACACTTCTGAGGACCACAGTGCCCCCGGCCCCAGCACGCCCCCCCCAGGCCTGGCCCGCCTCCCCGTGGCTGCTCTGAGAGGACCACAGAGAGAGCACCCCCAGATGAAGGTGGGTGCAGGTACCACAGCCCCCTGGGCCCAGGGACTCTGCCCAGGGGCCTGGGCCATTTCCCCAGCAGGCAGTGGCCAAGGTGCTTGCTCTCCTGGCTGCTGGCCACGGCCATCCCTCCCCAGGGAGGAGGAGGGGGAGGGAGGGAGGCCAGGCACAGAGTCAGCAGGAGAGGGCCTCCCCAGCAAGCCCAGGAGGACAAGGGAGCCTGCCTCCCCACTGGGCACTTCCAGGCCCTGTGGTCCCTGTTGGCAGGACCTCCCCAGCAGCCAGGGGCTGCAGGCCCACCTGCGGCTCTCCACCCGACCCCGTCCAGCGCTAACCACTCTTCTCCAAACCTCCAGCCCCCAGGATCACGGCGCAGAGTCCTGCCACAGCCCATGGGGACCCACGAGGGGGTTCCCTGGCAACCCACGGACTGTTTCCAGATCCAAGTCCTCACGCATCTTGGGGCGGTCCCAGGGGTCAGGGAGCCAGGCACCGCCCGAGCGCTGGGACGCTGCCCGGCGTGTCCAGCTCCTCCATCTCCACAGAGCGTCTCCCCCACGTGAGCGGCTCCCCCGGTGACCCCACATCACGCCCCTCCCCTCCCCTCCTGCAGAGGCTGGAGGACCCAGCCCCAGATACTCACCCTCCAGGCTCCTGGGCAGGGCCTCGGCCAGCGGGGGCTTGGGCTCCAGCCTGCTCTGCAGCTGGGACGTCAGGGCAGGCTCTGAATTCTCCAGGGTCTGGGGTGGGAGGGGACAGGCAGGAGCCTCGGCCGGCTTGGGCACCTGGATCTCCACCCTCTTGGGGGCTGCGTCGACGGCAGGGCTGGCAGGCACCTCGGGGGTCTTGGAGGCAGGGGCCTCCATCCTGCGGTGGGCTGGCTCCGGGGGCTTGACGATGGTGATCTCCGTCCTCCGAGGGGTCGGGTCTGGGGTCTTGTGGCCCAGCGCCTCGGCCCTCTTGAGCCCGAACCGGGCCGGCCCAGGGGTGGCCGCGCTCTCCACCTGCTTGGACGAGATGTCGATGGAGAGCTCTGTGCGTCGGGACACAGGTTCAGGCACCTTGGACCCCGCGAGCTCCACCCTCCGCAGGGCGGGCTTGGGCGAGCGCTGGCCCAGGGGGTCTACATGGCGGGCGGAGGGCTCTGAGTTCTTCACACCCAGGTCCTGGAACTTCTGGGTGGAGCTGGCCACAGTGGCACGGAGCAGGGGCGTCTGGACCCGCCGGGGCGGGGTGGAGTTGGGTGGCTCGACCTCCTCGACCTCGAAGGACCTCTTCAAGGCTGAAAGACAGAGGGGGACGTGGTGAGTGGCYGCAGGGGACGCGAGGCAAGGGCGTGCGTCCAGGAAGGTGAGGTGGCTGGACCACAGGGGACTAAGAGAAAGGACAGGCCCCTCCCAGAGGTCTCCCAGGGCACCAGCAATCAAGAGTTCTGGGGACAAAGACAATGGAGCAGGGTGGACACTGCCCCGCCAAGGCCACAGCTTGGGGGCCCACCTACGGAATGTTCCGGCTCGCGGGGGCCTGGACTTCTTCTAGGTGTGGCTTTCTGGCTCCCCCTCGCCCCCCCACAGCAGGCACTCAGACACCACCAGCAAACACTCCCGCGGCCAGAGGAGGACGCGTCCCCCGGGAACAAACTGCAACCAGAACGGCTCCGAATCAGGACAGGACACAAAGACCCCGTGGACAACGGTGGACGCMGCAACTTCTACACAGCACTGGGCTCACCGGCCCAGGCACACCTAGGGCCCCCGACAACCCGTGACGGAGAGAACATTCTCCCCCTGACACAGACAGGGAAACCGAGGCAGGAGGCACCTCCGCCACGGGCCGATGGCGTGGAGAGCAAGTGGCAGAGCCAGGCTGCTGGTCAGCCCTGTCTCCCCCTTGCTTGTCCAGTTCCCCAGCCGGGTCCACGCTGGCCAGCTCCTCAGTCCTCTCCCTCCCCCACACGTTCTCCATCCTGTATGTCTGGCCCCGAGGGACTCGGACCACTGACCCCACCCTGAAGCCCAGCACCCAGCTCTCCGGCCCCCTCCACCGGGTCCGCTGCCTTGAGGCAGCGGGTGGTGCCTGCAAAGCCGCCCTCCCCCACCCTGCAGCCTCCCACCAAATGAGAACCAGCTGCCTGGTTACGGCCAGCAGGGAGAGGCCCACGTGGCAGGAGCCCTCCCCAGCTCCTTCCCCGAGCGACCCAGCCTCTCCCCACCCTCCTCTGCCCCCAGCCCCCAGAGCCCAGGACTTCACGGGACCCCACAGCCTCCTCCCCTCCCCACAGGGAAAAGGGCCGACAGCCGGTCCCGGCACTCAGCGACAGCTCGGCAAGAAGAGTTCCTGTGTCTGCAGGGCCAGCACCTCCTTCGGAAGACCAGGGGCTGGTGGGTGCTGGAGAGGCAGGGGCCAGGGGGCAGGGAGCGGGTGGCAGGGAGGTGGGAGGCAGAGGCGGCCCCGGCTCTGAAGCCTGACCATGGAGCCTTCCAGCTTCCCAGACACGACACTCACATGAGGACCGTTAGCCCTGGGCATCCCTCCCTCACTTGTCCTGAGGCCCGACAGGGAGATGTCAGCTGAGTGGCAGGTGTGACCAGGTAGTGACAGGTGCTAATAGCCATCTCTGCCCTGCAGGAACAGGGGCCCAGGGTGGCCAGAGCTTCTGCACTTCTACATGATACCTCCTGATCCTTCAATGCCGGCCCAAAGCAGAACAAGCCCTTTGAAAGATCACACTGCAGCCAGACACGGAGGTGYACATGGTAGCTGATCCCAGCTACTTGGGGGGCTGAGGCAGGAGGATCCCAAGTTCGAGGCTTGGGGCTGGGGCTGTCGCTCAGTGGTGGGGGACCTGCCTAGCATGGGCAAGAGCCTGGGTTCCGTCCCCAGCACTGCAAAGTAAATAAACGGTGAGAACCAGGTGCAGCGCAGCCCAACGAGATCACACCCACAAGCCTCAGCTGTTCACAGGCCCAGCCTCCGTGATCATGTGGCCACTGGGCGCAGGGTCCTGAGCCAGGGGGTACCAGCTCCAGATTCCAACTTGGTGCAGCTCTCCCTGCCACTGGGCCAGCAGGGGATTCACCCTGCGTGCACACTGCATGATAGGCTGGGGTGAAGGTCACCCCGGCCAGGAAGTCCAAGGCTCGGAACTGCACCCCGTGTACTCCCCTGAGTCGCCTGAGGTCACCTGGTCTACCCCAGCCTCCAGTGCGTGGTCCCAACTGCCCCGGATGGGGCCCCTGTGCTATGAACCCCCCCCCACCTCCTGCCCTTGTTCCTCGCGGTCAGCAGACACTGGGTGAGGGGAGACCGTGACCAGGCTTGCCCCAGGGAGGAAGCAGAGCCTGCCCTCAGAGTCCCGGTGAGTCTGTGCCCCCATCTGGAGAGCCCCTCCCTGGGAGCCCACCTGGAGGCACCCACCGCACAGCGTCTCGGGTGGAGTACCATGTGGTGACCCGGCCAGGGCCGCCCCTGCACACACACCCTGTCCACGCTGCTCGTCTGGGTCAGCAGCCTCCTGCCAGTTCCAGCTGCCCTCACTTTCTGTGCTGCATCCCTTCAAGGCTCGTGTCACCGTCGTCCTCGAGCACACCCTAGTGACCTCTGTGCTCACGGCCTGGCTGTTACCTACCAGGAGTCCGCTACCCTGCATCACCCGGTCCTCACTGGGGGAGCCGCCCTGCCATCAGGATGGTGACCATCAGGACCAGGGGGAGTTGAGCCCAGGAGCTCGCTGTCTCTGAGCTACACCCCCAGCCCTTTTTGTTTTGGGACAGGGTCGACGTAAGCTGCCCAGGCTGGCCTTGAACTTTCGATCCTCAGCCTCCTGAGTGGCTGGCATCCCAGGCCTGTGCCACCATGCTGGCTGAGTTATTCTTGATGGCAGTGGTGACACAGATCACCGCACTCTAAGAGCAGCTAAAAGGAGCAGCAGGAGGAGAAGCCCCTCCGTGCTGGGGAGCGACCCCTTCCCCAAGGAAACCGTGTTCCAACCACTCCCAACCCTCCCTGCTCCCGGAGGCCCTCCTGTGTGTCTCAGAAGGCCATACCTGAATAGAGAGGGGCCAGCCGGGCCAGGCCAGCCCCCACCAGCACTCCTCCTCCTCCTCCTCCTCCTCCTCCTGAACCACCCCCCAAATCAGGCTCACTGTGGCCTCCTCCCAACCTGCCGGGTGCCCACGTGGTCCACACCCCTCCCTCCCACACCAGTGGCTTCAGGGAGAGTGTGTGGGCGCTCTGGGAGCAGAGCTGGACACTGCCTACTCCCAGCCCTTCCGGGAGCTGGGGACTTCTCTGGAACTCACCACCGGCTGAAACACAAGTGTTGAGCTTGGGCAGAGAGCCCAGAGGAGCCTCAGAAGACAGGCCTTGGGAACAGAGAAGGAACAGTCTTTTTTTTTCTTTTTTTTGTTACTGGGGATTGAACCCAGGGGCACTTACTACTGAGCCACATCCCCAGCCCCTTTTTTGTATTTTATTGAGAGACAGGGCCTCACTGAGTTGCTCGGGGCCTCACTAAGTTGCTGAGGCTGGCTTCTAACTTGAAATCCTCCTGCCTCAGCCTCCTGACCCACTGGGATGACAGACGTGCATCACCACACTGGGTGCAACAGTCTCCTTTTTTCAACCTGAGACCCCACTTTCCTCTAAGGTTCCTTAAGGGCTTGAAGGTCTTCAAAAGAGACGTGTCCACCAGGTGACGTGGTGCACACCTGCAATCCCAGCAGATCGGGAGGCTGAGGCAGGAAGATCACAAGTTAGAGACCGGACTCAGCAACTTAGCAAAGCCTTAAGCAGCTTAGCAAGACCTCGTTTCCAAATAAAAAATTGAAAGGGCTGGGGACGTGGCTCAGTGGCTAAGCACCCCGGGTTCAATTCCCAGGACCAAAAAAAAAAAAAACGACCCATAGAAGACATGCCCCATGCCAACCTCAGAACTGGGAAGGAGGGACTTGTTTGGAAAAGGTCTCTGGGATGGAATCAAGTTAAGGATCCTGAGAATGAGAATTGACGAGGGACACCAACAAGTGTCCTTTTAGTAAAAAGGCAGAGGGAGATTTCAGAGCCAGAGGCCCAGAGGAGGAGGCCACGTAAAGACCAAGGCAGAGACTGGAGGACACAGCCCAAGCTGAGGGACCTAGGGTCCCCTACCCTGGGCTGCTGGGAGGGAGCAAGGCCCGACCGACTCCTGGAACTCAGCCTTCTGGGCCCCGTGAAGCCGCCCGGTTTCCAGTGATTAGTTGCGGTGGCCACAGGACACAGACACAGGCCCCACTGCGGGCACAGGCCCTCCCAGTGTCTCCACCAGCCCCAGCCCTGCCCCCCCCCCTCAGCAGGGCCCCACGGGCTGCCTCCCCTCCCTCCCAGAGTCACCAAGGCCCCAGATGGTGGAGGGTCCCTGGGGAGGGCAGCCCTGCCCTAGATTCACAGTGGGACATTTGGCGAGGAGACCAGATTTCTGTCTAAGGCAGGGACGCCCGTGTGCCACGGCCCCCCACGGAGGGCCTCAAGGAGAGCACCCAGCCCGGGTCCTCGGGCACCTCTGCCCTGTCAGGGTCCTAAAATCACCCCTAGGCCCTACGTGAACATGCCCTAGAGAAGCCCCCACCCCGGGACCCCCGCCCCCCAACAGGTCACTAGATGTGTCCTCCCTCCCCAGATGCCAGCAAGGGTTTTCGCCAGCTCCTTACTTTGCAGATCTCAGACCCCATGACCGCACATCACTTCCTCTTCTGTCTGCTAGGAGTTGATGCTACACAGGGAGCAGGAGACGCCCCACTGGACCTCACAGACTTCCACTGCTACACAGTATCAGGCAAACATGGGCCTGGCTGGCCTTGAAGGGTGAGCCTCCTGCCTCAGCCTCCTGAGTCGCTGGGATTATAGTCCCTGCCGCTGGGAGGTAAGACGGAGAGGGAAGGCTCTCTTCTGCCCACCTTCACGGCCTCTACAGATTCTCGGACTCCAAAGCCAGCTCAAATCTTCCCGGCCTCCACCCTCCCCAACTTGCAGCCAGACCCTAAAGATGGATCCTGTCTTTGGCCCACTTCTGGGAATCTAACCCAAGGAAACAATCAGAAGTACGGAAAGATTTATGCACGGGGCCATCTGCATCAGCACTACCACTGCAAACACTGGAAATGATTCAGATTCATGCAGATTTTTCTAAACCCATGTGCTGAAGTCCCACAGAGTCATCAAAATCACGCTTCAGAAGATGAGAAATGCTGAGGATATTAAATAAAAATAGCAGGACGCAAGATGTCTACCAAGATCCTAATCCCC